GGTTGACGAAGGATTACTTAAGTCTTGTTGACACGATACTAATCCTCCTCAATTCGCGACGGTTCTGACCCCTGATGATGACCGGCTGGCGACCGGTCGAAACACGGCGTAGGGTCGCGCTGTTGGCTTGTTCAGATACGTATGCGCTTGCAGGAAACTGACGACGGTCAGCGTACTGTCGGCCATTATATTGCACGAGGCCAGCTGACAATGGGTTGTTTGTCTTGTTAAAACTTTTGACCCATTGAGGTCGTGTTCGGGAGAAGTCTCGAGTCATCTTCTATTCTATATCTCTTTTCTTTTGACTCTTGCTCTCGAGTGTGGTTGCCCTCTTTGTGTGATGTTTGCTCTGTTTATCCGCAAATTTTGTGAGTAATTCAGTGTTTACATCAATTACCAGAGGAAGCCCAAGGTAGCACCCAGCGGTAGCTTTGGGCAAGGCCCATGGGAAGCCCAAGGCCAGGCCCAGGGGAAGCTGCAGGCTGGGTGGTGATGTTGGGATATGTTGGGGGGCCAAGCTTGACTTCGTGCGATTGGCTCTTGACCAGATTGGAGAATCGGTTGGGGGCGGGCCATCAAATCCCTTGATAACTTTGCAGGTTGTAGTAATTTCATTCACCAGTTCGCAATGATCTCAATGTCGGGACATTCCAAGTCACTGAGCAAACCAGCCACGGGTTGTGCAAAGAGACTTATAACTGGCAAAATGTGTTTGTCAAAAAATGCAAACAACTGTTTAGTTATGTGAACCAGGCCACAACTGTATGAAAACAACTGTTCACTAGAGTTGCTAGCACTTAGGAAGCAAATAGTTCAGAGTGGAGATCTGAAGGATGTCATCTGTTAGCAATAAATGTGAGACATAAAATGGGCATTGACTCATGCTTGTGGCATGTGGTGGTTTGATAGCCAGACATGAGGACGCAGATCTAACCTGCGCTGTGGACCAGCTGGTGAGGTCCAGCTGCACTCCGTAGACTGGGGCAGTGCGGACAGTCGCCATAGCTGGTCCTGGTTATCCTAGTGCCCGTTTATGGTTGTTTTGCCCAGATGATGGTGGACTTTCCACCTGGCACATCAGGAGATGGCACGTTGGTGTATGACATTTTTTTAGTTGATCTGAAGGCGCGTTCTTCAAATGGGGGAGATGGCTTCACTAACTGAATCACAGCAGGGTGGGGATGAGTGGCTGTTGACCATTCAGGAGGGTTGCGCTCGCTTGCGAAGTATCGTGGAGGCTTTGTCCGTGAGGGGATGGGATTGGCTTGAGGTCGAAGAGGGGGCGGCTGTGCTGATTCCATGGCAGGAGGACACGACACAGAATCTGTTGGACGTAAGCGGAGACTCTGATGCAGCATTGCTACGACATCTTCAAAGCAGTCTCCTTTGAAGCTAAGAATAGAAGAATATAGATAGTATAAGTATTCTTCTATCACTTTTTTTCTTTTTATTTCTCTTTTTTGTATTTTACAAAAAATCCTTGTTGTTTCTTGTTCTATTTTCTTGTCGGAATGATTATTGTATTTTGTGTAGTGAAATAACCATGATTCTGTGCAAGGCCTTGGTGGCGAGAGTGCTGACACAATTTAAACCACCAGTACTTCCTAGAGTCGTGCCCGTTAATGCGCCACAATTTTAGGAAACGTATGGGCTACTACAGGAGCGCCCAAATTCATCCGAGTAGAAACGTTTCTACTCTATTTTTTTCTGCAGCCGATTGCTGGGCCAAGTACTGGTGACTTAATGCATGCGATCAGGCACTCGACTCGGGAGATCGACAACCGCCACTTGAGGAAGGCTATATGACAGAGGCACAGGCAGCCATGAAGGCAACCACGGCAACAACAACAACAATAATTACAACAACAACAGCAGCAACATCGACAATAACAAAATCAACATCAACAACGACGACAGCTACAGCAACAACAACTGCAACGATAACGGCTACACTATTGCCCATGACAAATGCTCTCATAACCATTACAACACCAACAACGGCACTGGCAGCAGCGACGACAACAGTGGCAGCAACAAGAACAACAACGACAACAACAACAACAACAACATCAGCAGCAGCAGCAACATCAGCAGCAGCAGCAACATCAACAGCAACAATGTCAGCAACAATGCCAGCAACGATTGCTTAAAAAAAAAAAAAAACCGTCAGTAACGACAACGGCTAAAGTGGCAACAACAGCAACGATAATCGCTGCACCGATGCCGGTGGCTGTGGCAACAACTTGCTTACAGTGGGAGAGAATAAGGGGTCTGACACCAACAACAACAACAACAATAACAACAGCAGCAAGAGGGTTAGGGGTTTGATGAGGATGGTGGGTTGGGGCTTGAGGTTGAATGTGAGTTTTATTATCTCCCCTCCCTTCTGTGTGGAGTCTCACCCTATTGATCCGCTCCTCTCTATTCTGCAGTGGGTGAGAGTGGGCTAGACTACGTCCCTTTCTTTGATTAGGGGTTGTCCAGCCCTCAATCCCTAATCATGATGTGGTGTAGATCGTCCTCCAGGTGGAAGGTCGGTTGCTAAGGGCTTCGAGGGTTGATTCGGGTTATTTTCCAAGGTGCTGCATGGAAATGCTTTTTGTTAGGTTTTCGGCTATGTGGGAAGGAGGTCTATCCTTCCCTCCTCTTGGGAAGTAATCAATGCCTCCTGCTGCATAGGGGGACGTGGTAGGCATGGTGGAAAGGGGCTTGAGCTCCATACAGCATATATAGATATTCAGATTTTACAATCACATTCACACAGTAGGGAGGCTGCTCGTATCACCCCCTCCAGTAGGAGTCACTGTTTTTTCTCAAAAATAAAATAAAATAAAATACAAATTATACAATTAAAAATTGGATACACAGTACACCATCCTCACACATTTAAGGGCATGTGCCTGTTTGTATCTGTCCCACACAGTCTGTTGCCAGACCGGAGTGGGGGTGGGGTTGTGGCCCTGCCATTCCCATTCATCCGGGTCAAATGGGAGAACACAGACTGGAGTAGCCATTTCATAAGCATGGTAGCCTGTGTCTTCGGATCCCACTACCCTAATTCTGACGAGTTCTTCCGCCCGCGGTGCACAATCCTGGTCTGGGTCTTTTGTAAGGGTTGTCCACTGTGCCCCCGGCATGCTTGGTTCAAAGGCTTGGAGGGAAACACCTTCCCGTGTTACATGATTTATCCTGTAGACAGTCATGGGAATAGGATTGGGGTGTTGCGTATTACCCAGTCGAGATTGCACAGTCGTTCAAAACCGATGGAAAAGAAATTCCACAGTGCATGAATCCAACATGTGCCACATCCCATGGTCCATCTATGCACACATAATGCGCACATCCCACAGGGCTCTGCAATGGCAAATTTTGCAGCAGGTGCAGCTCCCCACCAATAGATGGAGCCTTCATAGGGAGAGCCAATAGAAGAGTGCGCTCGTATCGCCTCTTCAAGTGGTATCCCGCCCCGAAGTCTTAAGTGGGGGAAGAAGGGGGGGGGGGAGAGGAGGAAACCATCTTCACACACCATTGTACAGGGATGCTGGACCCAATTTCCAGCAGGTGTAGCTCCCCACCAATAGATGGAGCCTTCAACGCTGGGACCCACTTAACGCGGCTGCTCTTATCACCTCTGAGTCATGGGTTTTCCCACATATGAAGTTTTCTTTATTAAAAAAGAAAGGGACACAGATCCTGATCTACCGCGAACTTCAGTGGTTCAAATGTACTGGCGGTTCAGGGTTGCCATGCACGGATACCCTGTGGTCGAAAGAACAGACAAAGATCTCTCCTTTTTGTGCTGGCAAACACCAGTACGCTGGGAGGTCAGTCCAAATGCAGTCATAGTTAAGACCGCCACGAAGTAGCCCCAGGTGGAACGTAGCTGCTTGCAGCCTGCAGTCCCCCATTCAGAATGCCAGCTCCCTATCTCTCATGAATGGGAAAAACATGCATATTGTGTCAACAGCCTGCAAACGGAATAGACTGGTAGCTGAGTGGCTCTGGTGTTGCAGCGGGGAGGTTGCAGGTTCAATTCTGTTGGCCCTCAACCTCCCCTGTGCATGATCAGTTGGTGCTCGGTTGGCATGCCACGTACTTGTTCCCCAGCCTAGTACAGCGTTTACTTTATTTATTTATTTATTTTATTTTTTCAAAAGCCCAGGGTGTTGTAGAGGCCAAGGACCAGACGCGCGGTGATTGCTGGCAGCGGCAGCCAATGGTTGTTCTGACAGGATAGGCCATCTACCCTACCCATCCCATGTTAATACTCCCAGTGCACCCCCTGTCCCTACTATCCTACCTCAGTGTGGCCAGCACTCAGGACCATCACCCTACCAGTATCGAGGGCAACTTGGACCAGACAGCAGTGACAAGCACCAGGGCTGGGCCAACCCGCCAGCCCTAATGGATTATAGATCAGTTGATATAGTAGTTCAGTGGGTTGATCAAGGTGCTGTAAGAAAGAGGTTTAGGGTTTGATTCTGATCAGGACAGTATCACATGGTACAGAGATAGTTAGGGTGCGAATAGGGAGGTGGTGGAATCGCTGCGCTAGCGCTAGCGCCCTGACGCCGGCGGACCGGTAGGCCCGGTTCCCTCGGCTCGACAAGCGCCTGGGGACGTAAGCTCCCAGGCTGCTAGGCCTGTGCGCGCGCCCGGCAGTGGCACGTGGCTCTTCAATTGCCACGTGGCATCTGCTGTAGGGATGAGAATGCCCGCGACGCGCGGGCAGGGGTAGCGCCAGCGTTGAAGACCGACGACGAATAGCAATACGTGGCGCAGCATTTGGGTGAGGGATGGAGATGGTAGGGGAGCTACAACGTGGAGCATCTCGACTACAGGATACACTCGGTGACAATGAAGATGACGTCTCGGTTACAGAAGTTGCTGAAGATGAGCAAGATGATGATTGCGATGTCCTCCGCTACTATACAAGTATCTGCACTATGTGTGAGAGCTGCGAATCTGAAAGACAGACGAGCTGTTCTGTTGCTGTGCGTGAGTGTGATGAGTATGAGGGGGGGGAGAAGAAAGGTGGGCTAACTTGATGGCACTGTCCTGCCAGGTTGAGGAGGAGAGTGCAGCTGGAGATGGAGAGAGGGAATATGCCGCTGATGATGAGGGGGGGAGAAGAAAGGTGGGCTAACTTGATGGCACTGTCCTACCAGGTTGAGGACGGAAGTGCAGTTGGCGATGGAGAGAGGGTATATGCTGCTGATGATGCAGGTGTGTGGGAGGTTAGGGATGAGAGTGCAGTTGGCGATGGGGAGGGGGAATATGCCACTGCTGACGTAGGTGAGTGGGAAGGCGAGTGGGGGCTATTGGCAGCGGTGGAAATGGCGGCAGCGGCAGCGGCAACAGTAGCAACAACAATATTGGAGGTGGAGCAGGGGTCGGCAGAGGAGAGGCAAGGAATGGGCGGGATTGGAGAGAAGGGTGGGATGGTCGACAACAACAAGGACAATAACAACATTGACAACAACAACAATAGCAAGTTTAACAACGGCGGCGAGCGGCGAATGGGCGAACTGGGTGAGATAGGAGTGAAGGAGGAGAACAACAACAACAACAACAACAACAACAACAACAACAACAACAACAACAACGGTTACACCAACGCGATGGAGGAGAGGGGAGAGAACACCAATGACATGGTGGAGAGCGGGGAGAACGCTGACAACAACGACAACAACAACAACAACAACAACAACAACAACAATGACTCCGACGAAGACGGTGGTGGCGCCAATGGCAGCAGCGGGGCAATGCGTGGTGACGTCGAGGGGATTGGGGGTGTCAACAGTGACAACAACAACAACAGCGATGGTGCCAACAACAACAACAACAATGACGAAGGTGAGCGGGGATCGGGTGAGATGGGCGAGCAGGATGAGAAGGGGGACAGCAACAGCAACAGCGACGGCGGTAACAACAGCAACAACAACAACAACAACAACAACAATAACAACAACAACAATGATGACGAGGACGGAGGTGGCGATCATGACAGCAGCGACGTAGAGAGCGGTGACGTCAAGGGGATTGGTGGAGACGTCCGTGGCAGCAGCATGCTGCAAGCAGATTTGGACGGGGGTGGGGGTGGTGGGGGTGACAATAAGTGCTTTAATCTCCTCCCCTCTTCCAAACTTGATATGGAGAGTGTTTGGCAGAGGAGAGGAGTAGGGTAGTTCATGGAAGTGGCTACATTACCGTCTTGAAAGAAAAAAAAGGTGCGAATAGGGATATAGAGGAGTGAATGGTCACATAGGTGGCTACATTACCGTCTTGCTTGGGGGGGGGAGGTTAGGGCAGCAGGTGGGACAGGGAAGGAAGGTCCAACAGCAGAGGCTTTCCGGGGGTTAGTGTCCACCTTGTGTGTTGATCCTCCCTTAGGAGGCACTCAAGTTCATAAGAGGATTGGGGACTCTCTAACAATCTTGGGTGTTGATCTGCCCTCATGGGGCGCTTGCAGAGGGGCCTTTCTGGGGGATAGGTTGTGGTGGAATTGTCTGTTTCCCAAGTACTGACTATAATGACTGGAGGGGTCTAGTTGATGACCAAGGTAAGGGGCGGATGGTGGCCATGTTCCTGCCGACGACTGAGGCTAGGGTACCTCCAGCTATGACCAGAACAACCTCCAAATGATATATAACTAAGAACGACCAGAATAATAACAACAGCTATGACCAGAACAACAGCAGGAGTACAAGCATAGGCAACTGAGAGGGGTTTAGTGGAGAATGGATGGTGGCCGGACATCTACCAACGATAGGCTAGAAACGCTACGGTTGTAATCTCTTCTCTAATACTACAAAGGAAGGAGCGCGTCTCGCGTGACGCTCCCAGCGGGCCCAGCAAAATTCGGGCAGGGAGGTCCGCACGCGGTGCCGCAGGGAACCGAGGAGGGCGCGCCGGTCGGGGAGGCCGGTAGCT